CTCAATTATTTTAGGTGGGCCAAGATTAAGTTTCAACATAAGCAATAACTTTTTTTAGAGACAATGAATATTTTAGATTTCTGATAAAAAAAAATAAATCTAGGTATACTTGGTGTAATTATTGATGCATTTTATAAATATTTTTTTGATATAATATGAGTGATATCCCATACTTTACTATGAATCAAATCAAAATAATTTTTATCACTGCTACCATGTGTTAGGAAAGAAAGGCTCTTACTCTTTTCCCATTTGTCATGTTGAACAATCAAATGAAAGTTGAGAAGAAAATTAATCTTTCTTTCCCAGCAAACCAAAGTTTATTAAATGGATAAAATGATAGAGTTGGGATGAACTTATTATTTGTGCTAGGTATCATTATTTTGATTTGTTGTAGTACAAGATGATTGATGAAGAAATCTCAGAAATGGAAGTTGCAAGGAAAATAAATTTCAACTTTAAGCCCCTCATGAGTATTTTTCCCACCATTTAATCATCCACTATGCAACCATCATGGAATAATTGAACATTAAAGCTATTATTAATCAGTTTTTCTTTTGAAATAGGATTAATGGAGAGCTTAGCAGGTATGAGGACATCTTTCGACAAATAATTAATATCTCAAATAGCTTTAATGGATAATCAACAGCCATTAGTAATATGAATAGATAGTGGTATTCGATAAGGTCAAATATTATAAAGATATGTAGTGCCAGTCTTGTTAGGTTTTGATCTAGCTTTAGGCTAGTGTTATTCTGCAAGACATCACACCAATGTAAAATCTATATATAGAGGTTATATGTGATGTATTAGACGAGGAAAATTGACTAAAGCTTTAGAATAATTTCCTCCTAAAATATGTTCTCACACACTCGCTCGCTTCCCTCCCTCCCTCCCTCTCTCTCATGCAATAAGAACTCTTCTTCCTCTTTCAAGATTGTGCAACAAGTGGTATTAGAGCCTATTGGAGACGATCGTGAGGAAGGAGGAAGGTTGTAATCTAGTAAGGGAAGAATGGGGAGGAGGTCTGCATGGATAGGATCGGAAGTTGCGCGAGCAGGCATAGTACGTGCGGGGCGAGAGTGGGCCGGAGGAGGGTCACGGGGAAGTTGCAACACGTTGGGAACAGGCAGGGTTGGCTGCGAGATCGCGAGAGAGGTTTCAGGCATGCAACTGGAGGTGGATGCGCGGCTCAGGCACATGTGGGAGCTAGTCGCGTGCACATGAATGTTGCGCGGACTTGTGTGATTGGGCTAGGAGGACTAGATCGGGTGGATGCGCGGGGAGAAGCGAACGCACGTGAGGTGGAGGCGTGGAGCTTACACACAAGATGCAGTTCAGACATGCGCAGGGTGTAGGATCAGACCGTGTGCACGAGGTTGGGGGCTAGTTCACGTGCTTAGTGGTGCTTGGAAATAGACGTAGAGCGACCTTCTCACGCAAGAAGGAAGCCTGGTCGGGGCGGGCCGCCTTTCGGACATTAGGGTCGCGATCAGAAGCGGATCGACCGGTAGGAAGAACGGAATTGTTGCACGCGGAAGGAGAGCTAGGTGGAGGTGGAGGAAGGTTTGTCCAAGAAAGAAAGAAGGCGGTTTAGTACGTGCGTGGGTTCGAATCAAGCCAGGTAGGCGATGGACTTGGTAAACACACTGTTGCGCATGGGCATGGGAGCAGTCGTGCTGGCTGGTTGCAGGAGATGGATGCAGAAGCGCATAACGGGCGCTCGACTGCTATACGCACAGGCAATCGCATGTGATTGATGGAAATCTTTCTTTCTTGGTTGATCTTTTTGGACAGGTGTTTTCTTTGATTATAAAATCTAGACCAAGATAGAGATTGTAAGGTTTTTATCCAGCTTTAGGCTAGTGTTATTCTGTGAGACATCACACCAATGTAAAATATATATATAGAAGTTATATGTGATGTAATAGATGGATAAAGTTGAATAAAGCCTTAGAATATTTTCCTCCTAGAATCTGTTCTCACACACTCTCTCTTCCCTCCCTCTCTCTCTCTCATGCAACAAGAACTCTTCTTCCTCTTTCAAGATTGTGCAAAAAGTCTTATGATTGAAAACATCATAATCCATGAGCCAAGATGAAAAAGGTATTACATTTATATCTTGTAACCCTAAGGCTGATATACCTTTAATTAGCATATCTTGTAACCCCAAGGCTGATATAACTTTAATTATCATATGTTGAACCAACGCATGAGTAATCTCAAGTTCGCGTACAGATGTTAAACCAACAACTTGATCATTAATGGTTGTTTGTTTAAAATTCCTTCTCAAACGCAGCGAATATTCTACTACACAACTGGTATCAAAATGAAATTGTGATATTTTGTTATATTTTCTAGATAATTAAATTATTTGATAATTTTAGAGCTTGGTATATGACTTTCAGTTTGATTATATAGTGGTATCTTATTTATTTCACAAAACGTCCATCTCATGAACGAATTAAACCACGAATAAGAAAAAAGTATGTGGTTTGTAAAGATAACCAACATAATGGATTTCAATCTAGAAATCTCAGTACTGAAACTTTTGCCAACCACTAGGTGCCGCCAAATTCTATTAAAATCCGTCCGAATAGTCATCAATAGAAGCCTCAATACCAATTAACACTAAAACTTAATATAAGTATGAAAAATTAAATTATACGTTATTCTTAATACTTCCTTGCGGTAAATTTAGGTACATGACTAATTCCAAGAAACTTATTCATGAAGGTTGGCTTATTCTTCTTTTCTATGGTTACGTAATCAGAATTGTAGATAACTTAAATAGTTGTGAAGTTAATTTTCTTGAATGACACCATATCTTAGGAACACATGACTTTAATGGTCAATGACTTGGGGGGCAAAATGTGTTGTGTTTTTTTTCCCGTACAATGCCCTAGCGCCGGGTTCCCAAGTGCCCCAATGTTGAACGACATAGAGCAGAGCGCCACAACATTATAGATATGGCGCCGCAACGGATCAAGACAGAGGTTTGAACGCCGTAGTGCCCTAAACTGGCGTCGCAGCGCTACGATATAGACTTGATGGTTTTCTTTTTCGTTTTTCTAAAGGTTTGCGTCCATTGGGGTTATTTTACTTGACTTTCTCTTGTATTTTGTGTGTAGACATTGAAAACGGTGCATGTGAGAAGAGAAGCATGGAGGGAGTGAGAGAGAAGAGAGATATGTACTTATATCTCCCAATTTTCATTGTGGATTTCTTGGTGTGGTGAAGCTCCATGGTTTTTTTTTTTTTCCTATTTTGAGTTTTTCCATGTTAAATCCTAGTGTCTTTTATTTTTCCACTGCTTTTACTTCCTTGCTTATTTCGTCATTGTGGTGTTTACTCCTCATCTTCCCAACACAAACGAGTCGAGTCGAGCTCGAGTCATGCCTAACTCGAGCTCGACTTTCGATCCAAAATCCGAGCTCGAGCATGGCTCGTGGCAATGGATGCGGGCTTGTGAGCCAGCTCGTGAGGCGTAAGAAGAACGGCCGACACCACCGCTTCCGTGTCCAAGCTCGGTTCCAATGTCGCGAGCTTTCATATTGTTTTAAAAACAATTTTTTATTAAAAAAATTTTGAAAAAAGAAAATTTATTTTTAAAAAATTGTTTTAAAAAATAAGAAAAATATGTCCTAAATGAGAGAAATTCTTATGTGCGGACGCTGGACGCAGCTCTATGTTCGGAGGCGAATCAGGTGCGACCACGTCAACGATATCGAGCCGTGGTATTGAGCGGCACCGACCAGACCAGTTTCAGGCCGTGATACCGCTTAACTTTTTCTTATATTTTGTGTGTAGACATTAAAAACGGTGCATGTGAGAAGACGGAGAGAGTGAGAGAGAAGAGAGATCTGTACTTATTTCTCCCAATTTTCATAGTGGATTTCTTGGTGTGGTGGGGCTCTATGGTTTTATCCCTATTTTGGGGTTTTCCACATTAATTCCTGGTGTCCTTTACTTTTCAGCTGCTTTTACTTTCTTGTTTATTTTCTCATTGTGATGTTTACTCATCACCCCAACACAAAGGAGTCGAGTCGAGCTCGAGTCATGTCTAACTCGAGCTCAACCTGCGAGCCCAATAACGAGCTCTAACTCGAGTCGAGCTCGAGCATGGCTCATGTCAGTGGATGCGGGCTTGTGAGCCAGCTCGCGAGGCGTAAGAAGAACGTCCAACTCCACCGCTTCCGTGTCCAAGCTCGCTTCCAATGTCGCGTCCGCGACTGCTTCCAATTTCGCGCATGCGCTTCGCTTCAGCCTTCTGCAATTCCGCCTTTCAAGCCTGCCCCTGCGGTTCCAGCTTCTGCCTTCCTCCAGTTTGAGCTGGCTTGACTCATTAGCACCCCTATCAATGACTATATCCTCTTACATATCTTATGCTTGAAAATGCTCTTTTTAGTTTTTTTTGTTTTACCATGGACTTTCATTTTGGTTATTTTAATGGAAATGGCTTTGAAATAATAGAGTCAGCTTAATTTTGTTTCTTTTTGTCAAAGAGAATTTTATTTTTTTGAAATCAAATTTTGCTATACAAAAAACATGACATTGCACACCTTCTGCCTATCTTAACGCTGGGGAACTGAATGTTAGTGCAACGAGAATTATGAACTACAGGCGAATTTGTTTTTGTAAATTCATCGAACTTTGGTTAGATATCTACTATTAATATAAACTTTCTAAACTTCAGTAATCGTTAGTAGAAATACACGCAACTATAAAGTAAAAAATTCCTATAAAGGCTCATTTGTTTTTTTTTTATAATAAAAAGTATGGTAGAAACAATGATTTTATGCATGAAAATATCACTATTGAGGGAGTTTTGATAAGATTTATGGTGTTTGAAATCTTTATTGGCATCTATGTACGTCAAACTAAATAATGGATTCAATAAACTTCATTTTTTCAATATATGATTTGTTACTTCAATCAACCAAATGAGCCATAATGGTATTTGCTTCTTTTTATAAGAAGACTTTGCATCTTTAATATAGGTGGATGACGTTAAGGATGAGATTGAAGCTTGGATGGATCAAATAGATAAGGAATGGGAGCTGATCATGCCCGAAGAGGCTATTCAGATGCAAATGGGAAACAATCTAAGCGCAGATGCAACTAACAAAGAAGAAAAAAATGGAGCATGTTTGGCTTCCTGAATGGAGAAATTATTCTGTGCGGAGGCCGGACGCAGAACGCCATCGAAGACCAATCAGAATGCGTTATATCAGCGGTACTGAGCCGCAGTAACGAGCGGTACCGAGCGAAGGGGTGGCGCATTCTGGTTAGTCTCCGGATGACATTCGACCTGCGCACAGAATAGTTAATCTCCTGGAATGTAGCTTTGTAACTGTATATATTATTATGATTGTTATCGTGCTTATTGTAGGCAACGTGCTCATGCTTCTGTTTATCATAAACATTCATTGTTATTTAAATCAACTAAGGGCTTGGATGTATTATTTGTTGATTCTGATACATCATATGTTTCATGAAAGTGATCATGATGCAATCAAATTTGGGTCTTTGACCAGCTAAGCTTGTGTACTAATAAATCAGCTGAAGTTAGTAAAACTCCAGCTTTTGTCTACCGTAAGGCTTCGTTTGGAACAATTTTCATATAGTTTTAAAAATAATTTTTTATTTAAAAAAATTTTGAATAAAGAAAATTTGTATTAAAAAGTTATTTTAAAAAATGGTAAAAATATGTCCTAAATGAGATAAATTCTTATGTGCGGATGCTGGAAGTAACTCTATATTCGAAGGTGAATCAGGTGCGATCATGTCAATGATATCGAGCCATGTTATCAAGCGGCACCGACCAGTATGGGGCCGTGATACCGAGCAAAAGGATGATGTGTTGCATTATGATTGGTATCCGGACGGCATTTGACGTTTGCACAAAATAATTTTTACCCAAATGAAGCTTAAGTTTGATAATCTAGATCGCCACATGATTACTCATAGGCTATGTCACTGAGGTGATGCAAATAAGCACACATCTGGTACCATGGCACAAGCTACACTTGTGCATCAAATGTAGCTCAGTAGTTCTAGCTAGCCTTTCAAGAAAGAACACATGGGCATGTTGATTTTGAAGTTCTTACAAATTGGGGTTTGTTTAACCAAATTGTTTGAATCATCTTTTAATACACATTGCATCATATAACACAATCTGAATATGGTAAACAACAAATGTACATAATATATAGTGTAAGAGATCTAAGACTGTACGAGTACATTTAAGTTGTAAAAACTAGAACAACACTAAGTTCTAGTTATCTCACATGTGACAAAGTGTCCTATGAGATCTATTAGACTTGTCAATTTTGGGTCACGAGTCGAGTTCGAGTCGAAACTAAAACTGACCCGGCACTATTCGGCTTCGGGTCGGGTCGACCCGTTTTTTAAAACGATCGATTTTCTAGACCCGAACCGACCCAACCCGCGAATACAACAACGCCTGTAGCGGCGGGTCGGCAGGAACACTGGCCCGACGGCAACGAAAGCCGGCCAAAAGAAGTCGGCGACGCGAACTCGACGCCGTCGAAAGCAGCTCGAGGCGTGCGACGTGACACTCGAGCGGGATGTGAGCTCGGGACGTGTGCAGCGACGCTATCCTAGGGATGCGACTTGCGACGCGACACGCCGACGCGGCCGGGGCAGGCGGGCACAGGTCAGCTGGGGAAAGCGGGGCAGTCGTGGCAGGTGGGCTGGGTCGGTCAGAGCCTCATTACGTGTCATTTCGGGTCATTCCCGGGTTCCCGGGTCAACCTGAATCTGACCCAGTTTTGTAAACGGGTCGGTTTTCCGGACCCGAACCCAACCCGCTTCAGGTTTGGATCAACCCAAACCCAAAATTTTC